CAGAGGCTGCCCCCTCCACAAAGAACTTCAAAGGAACCCAAGAGTGACAAAACCTGCGCAGAACCATAATCCAAAGTCAACAAATTCTGTCAAAATACCAACTTTTCAAGACGATATAAGAAATTATAGCAGTTATCCCAATATTGAATCGGTCAAAGATAAATCCTACGCAAACGCTGTAAAAGAGTCAACGACAGATCTACTAATCCAAAAAATTGATAAACTTCTCTCAGTAATAAGTCCACTGATTGATATGATGGCTCAGATTGTACCAATTCTACTCAATAAAAAGTAATGTTCTCAAACAATAATAACATAAAAGTGAGCACATGGAACTGCCGCGGTATTAATAATAAATACCACGAGCTAATCTTATTTCTACAAATGCACAATATAGACATTTTACTCATATCCGAAACCAAACTTGCTCCGAATATTAACTACTATGTTCCCGGATACAAAATGTATAGAGCAGACCACCCTAGCAACAGACGCAAAGGAGGCTCAGCTATTCTCATAAAAACATCTATTCAGCATGACGAATTGCCTCCAATCATAGAGGTGAAATTTCAAATATGCCAAATCATGCTACATCACGATAGAATAAATAAATTTAAAATTAGCTCATTTTACTCTGCTCCCGAGAACAGGATATCGGAAGCCGACTGGTGGAGTGTCGTCCATGAGATGAGTGCGAGCTTCTTAATTGGAGGTGACTTCAATGCTAAACACCCACGCTTTGGTTGTCGCATAGCAAACCCTAGAGGGAAAACCCTACATGAAGTTATTACTCGATTCGGGATTGTACCCATTTCTCCTGCTGAACCAACGCACTACCCGGATTCAGGGGCAGCTCCAGACATTCTCGACTTTTTTCTATGCAAAAATCTGCAGAGGTTTATAAATAATTCTCAAGTCCTTCATGAAATGAGTTCGGATCATCTCCCTATGACTGTTGACCTCAACCTTCATATTCCTCTAACCCAGTACTCTCAAGGGCTAGTAATTCTCCCCTTTAACTTCACAAACTACACCAAATCTGTTGAGGAGCAGGTCAACCTTCAAATTCCCCTTAAAACTCCCCATGACATAGATTCGGCAATTACCTCGTTTACTTACATAATTAAGAAAGCTGCTGGAGAAGCGTCTGCGCACCCCCAGCCCAACATCTACAAGTACCCATTACCATTCCCCCCTCACGTTACAATCCTTCACCAATCAAAAAACTCTGCCAAACGTCGTTGGAATCAAACAAGGCACCCAGAAGATAAGAAGCGGTATAATAAGTCAATCAAGGATCTGAAAGAAGCTCTTAAACGTGAGCGGGATACAGCCTATCGCAACACCCTAGCTGCATTGAACACTCAGGATAATTCTCTATGGAAAAAAACTAAAATTATAACTAAAGAAACTACGGGGATTCCCCCCATCAAGTATTCCAACAAATGGTCCACTACAATGCAAGATAAGGCTAACACGTTCTCTGAAATACTGGTTAATCAATTTATGCCCAATCCAGACCAAGATCCCGAATTCTCCGCACTGGTGATAACAACCAATAATCAACCACTGCCGCTAAGCCCGTTTGACATGTTCATTACTCCAGGAGAGGTTAGAAACGTCATTGCTCGGTCACCTAAAAAGAAGGCACCTGGTAACGACCAGATTACTCTGGAGCTGCTAAAAGCGCTACCAAGGAAGGGGCTAGTCATGGTGACTCAAATATACAACGCTATTCTTAGAACAACGCACTACCCCATGCAATGGAAGCATGCAAATATTGTTATGATAAAAAAACCAAATAAAAAATCTGAAGATCCGCTAAGCTACAGGCCAATAAGCCTCCTACCACTCCTGTCGAAAATCTTCGAAAAATTACTACTCCCTAGGCTTCTCGATAAACTGTCACACCTTCTACCCGACACTCAGTTCGGCTTCCGGATCCGCCATTCATGTCCACAACAAATTCATCGTCTCACCGATGAAATATTAAAAACATTTGAGCAAAAACAAGTATGTCTGGGGGTATTCATAGATACGGAAAAGGCCTTTGACAAGGTTGTACATGAGGGGATCCTATACAAAGCTAAACCCCATCTATCAGACTCAATGTACAGACTACTGAGGTCATACTTACACGGTAGAACATTTTCTGTCAAATGCGGTCAAGCAGTATCAGCGTCCAGACCTATGGCATCAGGAGTACCCCAAGGAAGCGTATTGGGCCCCTTCCTCTATCTGATATACACTCATGATTTCCCGTCGTCAGCATCATCAACACTGGCACAGCTGGCGGACGATGTCGCGATATTAAAAAGGGACTCCTCCTACCCATTGGCACAGGAAGACCTCCAACTGCTCCTAAACGAGATATCAAGTTGGTGCATCAAATGGAGAGTTAAAGTTAATACCACTAAATCAATAGTTGTACCATTTACAATATGTCGCAAAAGCTTTGAGGAGACGATGGTCCTGAATGGAATGCCAATCCCAAGCAGCAACTGCGTGCGCTATCTAGGCGTCCAATTAGACTCGAAACTTACTTGGAGCGAACATATAAAGCAATTGGTCACTAAAGTTCGCCAAAGAATAAGACAGCTGAAACATCTGTTAGGCACTCAATCTCCTCTTACTTTGAGCACTAAGAGACTCTTATATCTGTCGCTAATTAGGCCCATTTGGACTTACTCCTGCGAACTCTGGGGAGCGACAGCTAAATCACACTTGAACAAAATCCAGGTGACACAAAATAGAGTACTACGACTCATCACAGGCGCCCCGTGGTACGTGCGCAACAGCACATTGCACCGTGATCTACATATCCCAATGGTGGAGCACGTTGTGAGAAACGCATACTTAGCATTAAACACAAGGATGTCTGACCACGCTAACCCATTGATTGCTCAAATTGCGACACAACTCCCACCTCATCCTTCTCGCCGACGCCTCAAGAGAAAGCTGCCACAGGACTTCCTTATAGATGACTCTACCACCACTCCGTAGCAAATGGTGTAACCTTGTTGTTAAATATTATTGTTGTTATAAATTATTTATTATGCTGTTGTTATCTCTCTTCCTTCTATTTTATAGTTTAATATATATGTATACGTTCCTCTAAGGAAAAAATCATATCATAACTTATTGCGCGAGTGCCAAAGACTATAAAGTTATAGCAAATATATAATATATTCTGATGTAGGGTAGTTAATGAACTACACCTTGGATCATGTTACATGCGAATTAGTGTACATGTATACTACTATATACTGCTGTTATCATCAAAACTGATCAAAACTGTAATGAATATAAGATCAATAAAGTTTTCAAAAAAAAAAAAATAGAATATTAAATTTAAGTATTTGGTCAATCAGACCATGAAATAAAATAGATTAAATTTAAGACTGAAATTTCTCATCATACATATAAAGAGGTATAAAATTAAATTTATTTTTATATAAACAAAATTATAAAATTAGTAATCCTAACAATGGAGTAAGGCTTATTTCTACTGTTGCCATATATGTACTCACAGTTTACACAATAGTGCCCGGGATCTTGAAAATTGGCCTATACAAATTCCATTGTCGTTGAACTTTCTAACTTTAGTCATTGTTTTGTTCTTTGTCATCTGCTTTATTCTGGAATCTTCAACCATAACGGTCTTTTAAATTACAAAAACATAATATTCAATAAATTGTTACACCAATTATTTTGAACTCTAAAAATGTTTCCATAAAAGATGAAAAATAAAAGAGTAATTAAAGTTTTAATTAAAACTGAGTAAATATGGATGTCTTCACACTTTCAGATTATAGAACATCTTTTATTATTAGGTATTAATTACAGAAAAGAGCATGAAATACTAAAATAGAAATTATGTCTAAAAGATATCAGGAAGACATCTCACAAAAATTACGTTACATGTAGATTAAACAATGAATCAGAAAATTCGATCATTGAAATAAATTATAAATATTTGAAAACTAATAATGAACAAAAGTCACCAAATTGAACATTATTTAAAAACTTGACAATGTTCAGATGTTTACATTGGTTATTTGAACATATATGCCTGTTTTATGGGAAAATGTAACAATAATATCAATGCCTCAAGTTCATTTTTTTTTTTTTTTAGTTTAATTATGTTTTATTTTGACTAAATATATTACTTATTATAAATTGTCGAATATGAAACAATTTTTAATTATTCTTGAATAATTCAACTTGATTTGAAGGAAGTTTATGAAATGCTTATTGCAAAGTTCCTGAAGTTTCATAATGAAATATTTTGTTTTTCCTTATTTATTTTTTTATATTTTTACTAAATATTAGTTTTTCATGTGACATGCATATATTTGAATATGAAATATATAATTGGTAATAAATTATAAAACGTTTTTAAGGATATATTCTGTTATATATATAAATACTCATTAATAAGTTCTTTGAAGTTTCATTTTAAACATTCTTTTTGTTATTTAAAATTTATTTTCTACATTTCTTACCCATGAAACTCTCCAAATCCTGCAAAATGTTTCCATTTTGAAATGCCTTCTTTATTTATTAAATATGTTTCACTTCGCAATACAAAATATTCTGATTATCAATAAGTCTAAAAACAATTTTTGTCTTCAGAAGTTAAACCAAATTTTATAAGTATAATCTGCTAAATCAAGTTGAAATTAAACTCAATACCAGGAAAAATTGATATCAATAAATGTATACAGGGGTGGCCTCAACGGTGTGGGCACTGACACAGCGTTCACACTGTAAGGCAAAAGTCCTGGATTCAAATAGAGAGGCCATGCATTAAAACCTGAGAAATTTACGAATGGGCATTTTTTCAAAAAAATTAGCACCCTGAGGAATGATATGACCTATGCTGTTGCGTGCCCTTGTTAAAAAAAAAAATAAATAAGCGTAGCGTATGTGCACTTAAACTCTATAAAAATAAACTGGAGGATGGGTATTGGATTACAAACAATACAAGCCAATTGATAAGCAATTTATTTAGAAAATACGAAAATATTAAATTTACTTTTCACAAAAGATCTTTTCCGTGCATACATTTTAGAAGTCAAAAGATTCATGATGACCGTGATGATCATGGTGATGATGATGGTGGTGGTGATGATGTTTCTTTACTTCAACTTTGTATGGCACTTCAATTGGGATTTTCACTGGAACTTTGACCTCATAAGGGACCTTCTTTTCAACAGTGTAAGGAACTTTCTTCTCGACGTAGACGGGGTAAGGTTTTTCGACATGCACTGGGACTGGTTTCTCAACTGGTACTTTGACTTCATAGTGAACAACCTTTTCAACAGGTACATGTACTATTTTCTCAACTGGTACATGGACAGGGTATGGCTTTTCGACAGGGACTTTAACTTCGTACGGGACTTTCTTTTCTACAGTGTAGGGGACTTTCTTTTCGACGTATACAGGGTAAGGCTTTTCAACATGTACAGGGTATGGTTTGTCTACGGGTACTTTGACTTCGTAATGTACTTTCTTTTCAACAGTGTATGGTTTTGGTACTGGTACTTTGACTTCGTATGGAACTTTCTTCTCAACATATACTGGGTACGGTTTCGGCACGTAGACAGGGTAGGGCTTATCAACTGGGACTTTTACTTCATATGGTACCTTCTTGATAACTTCTACCGGATAAGGCTCTGGAACTTTCTTGACGACGGTGATGGTCTTGACGTGGTGCTCGTGGTGTTCATCATGCTCGTGCTTTTTCTCAGGCTCGTGATGAAACTCTTCAAATCCTTTGTGTTCGAATCTCTTCTCTCTTGTTACACCTGCTGAGGCAAATGCAATAACACTTAACAATACAATTATTAAGAGCTTCATGGTGAACTGATACTTTTCCAATTAACACGCTCTCCTTATATATAAGAATCTCCCACTCAACTTGCCAAGCCAAGCATCCCTTTCTACTCTTTTGTGAAACTAATTACAAAATCAGTTCTTATTCAGCATATTGTAAGATATGATCTTTAAAGTGTCATAATAGTGTAACACTTTATAATTGGGTCTACTGTTCATGGTAGTATGAGTATGTTAATATAAGAACTACTTTGCATTATGACGTGTTGTATTATATAAATGAAAATTTTCTCATTATCTACAGGCCTGTACATCACATGTATATATGAGTGTGTATATTTTTGATATATATAATATGATATTGTATAATACAAATATTGATAGAAATTTTGAAAATGGGGTGGGTATGTAGATTCACTTTTTGTAAATGAAGGTTCTACACAGATTTGTTGTTTACCGGATTTCGAGCAATAAACGCTGATCGTCAGGTTGAAGATTTACAAACACATCTCTCAACATGAATCGAGGCTAATCTTCTAATTTAAGAACTTTACATACTTTTTCTGATAGTTACCCAAGTATGGCAAGCAACAAAAACCTAAAAATTCCTTTTTGGTGGGGAGACTGAGCCTGATTGTTGCTTCTTTTAAAGTTAATTTTTTATTATTTTTACTAGCAACCTGTAAATATTTCTTGATGTTCATTGTTTTTAGCCAAGGTTGTAATTATTTTTTTACAATTAGCGAGTGTTAATGGTAATTTAAACATATGGTCTATGAGCTAAACGAATCCAGCAGTTTTTTGGGTTCATGGATGAGAATTTCCTGGTATCTTGGTGTCTATAGATGTTTTCAATGCTGTCAATGTGTTCATGTTGTCTACATACATCAATTTCAATTCCAAGATTAATTGGAATTTTCAACATACATACCATTTTACACTCTGTTAATATTCTTTCCAGACTAGTGAATCGGGAATCATTAAAAATCTGCTGAATTCACAGAAGACTGAGTTTTCCTTTTTACAATCTTCTAAAAAATATGAATTAAGAATATTAAAATTATGACAAATTACAAAATTTACTAGGAAAAGTGAGTAATGGAAATTGTGAAAAAAACTTAAAACTATAATAAGTAAGTAGGTCAGTAATGCTAGTTTTTAGTTATTTTTTCGCATCATTTAAATAATCGGTTCACTTAAAAATGTTCACCTATTTTCAATGGAGTTTATCAAGCCTGGCCTGTTCGGATGTTTGCAAAAAATGGATGTTTTATTGTTATAGTACTCGCTAGATATCTGGGTTTGTGTTTATTGAGAGTGAATGTATTTATTAGAGTGAATGTGTAGTGTGTTTATCATTTAAAAAGAATAATTTAAAATCTGCATTTGTAGGGGGATGAAATGACCTAGCTGTTGGCAGTCCCTGGAGCCTAACTTTGGTAAGACGAATAAGACAAAGGTCACTGAAGCAGGTGATTCACAAGCTTAACTCAGTATGTTGGTATGGTTGGTATGCAGCATACGACATACCAATACCATGCAGCATGGTTATGTAAAATAATTGTGATTCTTCCTTTTTTCTAACTTAAAACTTAAAAAGGTTACAACTCTGTCGATATGCTTTCAATGAAGCATAAAAGAAGTCTGTTTAAATTGCCCTTGGTTGATTTTACATCGCCTCAAGTTAAGAGGGAGACAAATGCAATTGAACCTGATTGACATAAGCCTGTACAGAAAGAAGAAAAACATCATGAATATTATTTATAATATATATAACTTAAATCAATCTATTTTACCAGCCATCAATGAGGATTAATAAGTACAAAGAACAAACATCTTCCAGAATTATGTTTCTTAAAAAACCAAAAAACAAATACAAACATTTCATTGATCTATTTATTTTATTTTTCATTTACAATAAAAGTAGTACAATCTTATTTTAAATGTTTTACATTTACTAAACATCCATTAATGTTGAATACTATTAAAAATGAGACTAGAAATAAAATTTCATATCGACCTGAGCAAAAGGAAGACATTCACATCAGAACCGAGTATTTGTTTACAATGTACGATTACAAATTTTAATAAAAGAATAGAAAAAGTTGATTCCTAAAACACAACCAACTTGACTTTTTTTGTTCTTTTTAAAAAATATTTATCACAAACTTAGTAGAAAGATCGAATAAAAAGTTATACATTTTGTTCTATTATAGATTTGTTTCTCTGGTATTATTCGAGAAATAAACAACTCGTAAAACCATATCACTTTGTTCGCATAGCATTGTATACTAAAGAATGGGGAACAAATAAAAATAAGTATGCCATAAAATAAATGCATCTTTGAAAATTATTTTCGCAGGAAAATCGCCTTAAAACCTCTCGAGAGCAATACTGCTATTCACGAATGCACTGGAAAAAAAATGATTAGTTAATAGTAATAATAATAAAAAACTTTTAAATAATATATTAATGAAATATTGTTTTAAAAAATCATTGAACAAACAAAATTAAATTGTTGATTTGATGTGATATTTTTTAAATAATAAATATTGGTTTAAAACAACCTATATTAGCGGCCATAACTGATCATATTAATTATTTCAATTTTTTTAAATCTAAGGTCTTGTTGAGATGAAAAAGCTATTGTCTCAAGCAGGATTCGAACCCACCAGACCTTAGATTAAAAAAAAATTAATTGAAATAATTAATATGGTCAATTATGACTGCTAAACATACACGGATTAATATAATAAGTAATCACTTCGCTAACAGCTCCCCTTGGCCACTTTGTAAGTCGCTGAGAATCGAATCCTGATTACAGAACATTTGAAAAATGGCAAAAAGGAGGAAAAATTGAAAGGATGTAGGTTGAGATGAGGAGTTGGTGTCCGAGAGGATCGAAGTTAATGAATAGGTCAAGTGGTTAGAGCAGCGGCGTATTCAGCCGAAAGTCACGGGTTCCAATCCCGCTCGTGACACTAGCTTTTTCATCTCAACCTAGACCTTAGATCAAAATAATTAATTGAAATAATATCAGTTTAAAGTTTCAGTGTCAATTTTTTATAATTTGATTTTGTGATTTATTAAAATAATACTTACTTAACTTTTGAAGGTAATAGAGAAGATTTGTATATATATTTATGCCCAAGTCGTTCCGACTGACTGAACTTCACTAAAGTTGTTAGATTATTAGGCCTTTCTTTTTGTAAAGTTTTATAAAGCTGAAATACAAATTTTAATATTTTTTATATATATAATTTTTTTTTAAATCGAATATAAAAGAGAAATTACCTTTTCCCCAAGAGCGACGGGTATAACAATATCATCTTCAGCATGTAAGATTAAAATAGGCGTCGAAACCTTTAATAAGTGTTTGTCTGATTCAAACTGCAAACCGTTGTTGTACATTGGTTCAGTAAAAAAATAATCGAACCAAGGTAAGTATATGAAAAACTAGAGAAACACACAATATAAACAGAACTGGCAGTACAAAAAAGTAGTCCAAATTAAGTCAAATTTTAAAACCTTCGCTAGTGGGTATGATCTAATTTCCTCTTTCATATTGTTAAATGGAGATTCTAATATAAGGCCTGTTACTCTCTCACCTTCGGACTCCAAAATATCAACAAGATGTGATGAAATACTGAAATCCAAAAAAGAAATATTAAAATATAGTTTTAAAAAAAGTTTTTCAGAAAAAATACCCTGTGCCTAGAGAATGGCCCCATATTATTATTTTAGCTAAGCCCGCTGCTTTTTTCTTCAGCCATTTGTAAACAGTTTTCGAATCCTCAACGACGCCTAATTCACTTGGCTCGATTGGACTTGAATCTCCATAACCTTCAAAATTTAAATAATAGTTTAAAACTTATCACTACAACATATATTAGAAAGTATTCAACAATAGTACTTCTATAATCGAAAGCAACAATGTGGTAGTTTTGATTCTGCAAAAGTTTATATAAATCAATTCTATGGCCGGCTCCTCTGTTTCCTGAGTTTCCATGCAGATATAAAATTATAGGTTCACCACCACTTAATGCTGTATCGTATTTTTCAGGACTATAGTCTATAAGCTTCTGTGGTAATAAATGCCTGAGGGTTAAAATGTAAACAAAATAAAAAACATGTTATTTTAATTTAAATTGACATTGAATACGGACCAAACTCCGAGGGTTACATTGTCGTCTGTTTTTAAGTAGAAATTTCTTACACCATTCATATACTTTTCTGGATGTTCAAAGTCGACAGGAACATGCACTGAAAATAAATATTTTGTAAATTATCAACATCCGCAACTGCGACGACTAAATATTGATTTAATAATTACCCATATTGAGGAAAACCAACGCTTTTTGCAAATTGTATGAGTTTTTATAAATGACCGGTATAACAATAAAAACAAATAGAAAAAATAACAGAACAATAGAAAATGTTCCAATTAAAATCCTAAAAACACAAAAACAAATCAAAATAACGTTCATTAATTGATTAGAATTTTTGTTTAAATAGTCCAAATAATAATTCGATTGGCATGCAAGACAAAATGATCTAATTAAAAATATACCATGTACAATACAAATGAATATATACACTCAAAGACAAAAACCAGACATTTGCATTTTGTTGTCTATTTTAAACTGTGTATTTTTTATTGTCGTAATAATTACAACGTATTTATTTTAGTAAGTAAATTAAACAAGATCAGAAATTCATGAGTTACAATAAAAATTATTTAATTATGATGGTTTGAAAGAAAATTCACCAAAACAAAAAAATAACTTAGTGACAGGTTAAAATTTACCTAACAATTTATTACTTGGTTTTGCTCTTAATAACGTTTATTACCTCCTCTGGTCTTGCAGAGGGTCTTAAGTTTTCTAGGCATTGAGAAAGCGAGTGACTAGATTTCATCTTGTGAAAAATAATCCCATTCTCCAATGAGATAGGTTTGAAGCTGTTCAACGCTTGTTAGACGTGGCGAACAAGGTCTCTGTCTTTTTGTCATGTACCATAAGTGTTCTATAGGATTGTATTAATTAATGTCACCATCAAAAATTGGAATCCAATCTGCATATACAGTTGTAGATGATAAATGAAATTTAAAAAATTACTGTTTCATAGAAAAAAAATTAAAAATCAATTAATTCACTCAACTAGTTGGCTCTGAAAGGATAAATTGAACTAATTTTCATTATTTTTAATTTAAAGAATGCATTTGGGTTAAACACTATAAACGTACACAACAAGTAATTAATGTTATGGTTACCTTTTAAATCAACTATTAATCTTTATATCTAATTATTATGGAAAAATAGACAAATAAATACATGTATACAGTTCTTTTTTTTCTTTGAATGTATATCGTACATTTCACTGCTACTTTACACAAAAGAAATGTCTTTTGAATTTGAGAAGTGCGATGAAATATTAAAGTAAATATTTACAAGTTCATTCCATTAATTTGCTTTGAATTATTCCAAATATGATTGACACAGGTATTTGGCAAATACAAAGCCTCTTAAAAAAAAAGTACAAATTGTATAATTAATTATGAAACAAGGTGCAATGTATAAACTATATTACAGATTTATTCAAGCCACATATAAAACCCCAATTCGACTGGATTGTTAATTAAAACATTGAATAAGTTTTATTATAAATTTCATGAGAATCATACAACTATATTTAAGTATACACTTTTTCATTTTATATTTTCTCTAAGAAATTCTTTGACTGATTGTTAAAGGGGATAAAATAATTTCCTGGGATCCATTAAATTCATTCTTAAAATTGTTAATTTTTTTTAAAAACTAATTTTCAAATTTTTGTTTTATGTGCAAAACTTAGTTACAACCCAATTGTTAACCAATAAACCATGTCAGAAAAGAAAAATGTTATTTACATTAAAATATAGAGTCAGTTTGTAAGTTGATATAGATCTATATTACCACACCATGGCTTAAAGAGTAACCAACAGAATTTAAAAATGCATAGTACAAATAAAATAATACAAGATGATTGAGGGAATGCATAAAAAACCACTATTGATCATTTAAAAGAAAAAAAATAATATAACCAAGATATGAAAAAAAGAGTGCAGCAGTAGGCCTACTAATTATGATCAAACTACTTTCATATTATTAATCAAATTAATTAAATGTTTTCTTTCAGTAATAAATAATATACTTTCTAAATTACACTTTTAAGGATGAAATTTACAGCAGATGTTTTCATTTGGCAAAATTCCACAAAGAGCAAGAAGCATTTGATTAGAATTACAAGTCTAATTATGGCCACATCTCTGGGTATTTTCGTCAGCCAACAATAATGACATTTTACCTTATTATCAGTGGATTGGATTTCGGGATTCTATTTCCATCGAATAACATTTCATCGACACTATAATAACTCCCAGTCGGTGCGCGACCAAATGAACAAGCATAATTTTTCATCGAGTAAAATTTATTCATTTGAAAGATCAAAATTGAACTAATTACACCTTAAATTTACTATTTGCCCTACTGACATAATCAAAATGTAAAGGCTTTAGATAAAACTGCCAAAATACGCGTCATTTGTTTGAGAGACATTGTAACTGGATTCATTCCAAGTCTAAAACGTCATCTCACCTGATTGCTTTTTCGCCCAGGCATATTTTTTTTTTCCTCTGCAGGTCAGTAACAATCTTATCTTCTAAATCCTAATCTGATTTTTCTTTACTTATTTTGTAAATTCATTATTATTCTAACATTTATATAAACCTTTTTTTTACTAAGTTATTATTATTATTTTATTACTTTTTGTGTTAAATGGCCTTATGACTTTCATATTAGCCAAAGTATGTGAGTTGTTGACTTGATAGATAGATATATAGTTTCAGGAGGAAAAGGAGTGTGAAAGAAAATTCTAGGGGTGACAGTGGGAATCGAACCCATGACCAGTGTCTATAAGCCAAAAACCGAAAGCGCTAACCTCTCGGCTATCATGCCCCCCCCCCATTATTATTATAAACAATTAGATGTATACTTTTTCTGTATGTCATGGTATAGATAAAGTTCATCAAAGAAACAAAAATTCTCATTACATTAAACATTAAAAAATATTGTGCATAAGCTTTAAAAACTGTGCTTGTAATAAACCAATTACATTTGATGATGATTTTTTTGTAAAATTACACGTGTTTAAATTAGAAATAATTTTTTGTTTTAATTTTTTACATTATGTTTTACATTACAATATGTGAATGAAAAGCTTTAAGTATTTGCTATTAAAAGGACAAAACAAATAGTTTAAAAAAATACATAAAGACAACAGACATTGAAACACGATAGGACACAAGGAGAATGACATGCATTTTTACATTAACTTCTTTAACATATTGCATTCAAAAAAAAATTATTTTATACTCACACGCCAGTATACCACAGTGCTAGAGCACCAATAGGTATCAATATAACTATTGAAATAGCGAAATATGCAGAGTTTTCCATACCAATTCTATATTATAACAGTACTTCTAATACATAACATGCACTCAATTCATAAAATGCCTATTAGAAATAACTTTTAAGATCTGAAACAGTAAGTTATTATGTGCTTATTTTGCCCTATGAGAATGTAATATTTTGTATATTTAAAAATCCAGGCAATTAATCTGTCGCCGTTGTAACAGCAGAATGGACAATAAGATGTTGAGCTCGTGATGTGGAAGACGACAGTCAATTGTTGGGGCAGTTTTGAGAGAGACGAATTGAATGAGATTGGAAAATAAAACAATTTGATAAGCAGGACTTAGGCTGCTGAGAAATGCACAAAAGTACAAAGGTGTGTGTGTGTGTGTTTTCTTTGAGTAGATCAGTATATGTCAAAATGAGTTATTCAATCAAAAAGCCATTCAATAAAGCTCAGGTTTTTCATTCATAAATTTACCAGCAACATTAACACCAACAATTTGCATACATAAAGATTTCTTTATATTTTTGTACATGTTAAATACCATACCTTCTGAATACAATTTTCATCATTACGTTGATCGAGAGCAACAAACAGCTACAACTACATGTTATGAATTTCACTCAAAAAAAATTCAGTTACTTCAGACTAATCCTTAAAACGTATTAATTATTTATGTTCCCTTTTTGATAATTTTACCCTACACAAATGTATAAAAAGAAAAAAAAATCGTATCCGCCACTTGTTCCTATCCTTGCAGATTTTTCTGTGAATAAATTGCCAATTCACTTAGTCCAGTTAACACACCAGGATGACCTCTCAATTATATCAAATGTCAAGGGAACCAATTACTTAAGTTATCAAAATCGATAACACAGATATGATGGAGGTACTTCATTTCATCTCATTAAAAATTGTTTATCATTAATAAATAAATAATTACAGCTATTATTTATAAATTTATCAAATATCTAAATGTATTTTTTTAAATAATAATAAATTACAAAATTTTGAACAGTAGTTTTAAAATTTTTACTTTTTTGTTTTTTTTAAATGGCATTCAACTAAATTCAATTTAATTATATGATATGTATCAAGGTTCTCTTCAAATAAATATTCTCATTAAAAAATTTGGTTTTAATAAAAACGTGTTTTTACATTTTTTAAATTTTATTTTTATTTTTTTTTTTTTTAAATGACCTTCAACTAAATTCCATTCAATTATATAACATATATCGAGGTTCTCTTCAAATAAATACTGTTATTAAAATTTAATTTTAATTATAAAAAGTTTTTTTTCCAGGGCACCACCATACTTTTTTGTTTATCAACCTTCGATAGTCAGGTTGGGGTAGTTTGGAGTAGTTATAAAGCCCAGTTTTCTTCTTTTTTGTGCCTTGCAGTTGGATGGATAGGTGGATCATCAGTGGAGTGTTAATATGCAATCTTTCCGAGGAAAATACCATCCTTGGGCCACAAAACTACTGGGTGTGACATAACATTTTTGTGTCTTGATCCATTCTATTCCATAGATGTATAGAACCAAAAACACCCTTTCATAAAAAGCAGTCTTTATTATTTTATTTTTTTAACAAGTATCGATTTCGGGATGCTGCCCGTACCCCTTCTTCAGCTGTCATGACATAAGTCATCAAATATTTTGAAAAAAAAATTTTTTTTAATTATTTAATAAAAAATTTAATATTTTATGGTTTTTTTTATCAAGACAAAAGTGGACCAAGATAAAAAGTAAGTTCAATTTCCTTCCAGAATTTAAACTGGAATCACTTATACATTGTCTGTCAGGACAAAAGATTTGCTAAAATATGCTAATTTGTCCAAAATTAGACTAATCTAGTTTTGTCGTAAGGGTGGAGATATAATTGAAAATTTGTATATTTAAAAAAAGCAAATAAAACTGCTGCCATGTGTCCTTTTACAATATAATTTGTAATTAGTATAATAGAATAAATTTGGGCCCTCAGGCCAGGAAAAAAGGAGTTTAGTCACGATTTGAGGGGATTGAAGGAAATAAACTTTGTGCCCTGTGTGACGATTTGTTGTTGTAACGAAGGTGTGACCATTCGAAGGTTAATCTAAGAATATAAAAATACAGGGGGGCAAAGTTTGTAAATGTGTAATTGTTTGAACAAAGCTTAAAAGTTTATCTTCTTTATCATTTATAAATTCATTTAAAGCAATTAAATGCATTGTTGAAACTTACCACCAGTTATTCAACAATCCTTTAAAAAAAAAAATTTGAATTTAATCTTCACATTTTTCAATTTGTTGTTTTAAGCATTTTTCCACAAAAGTTGAATATGGAATAAATTAGACAAATTATTTATAATTTGTACATTTTTAAAAACTATCCATGTAGGTTTTTATAAATTTCCTGCTTTATTTTTACATTAATTTTTTGAACTTTTTGAGAATTTACAAAAAGCATAAAATTAAAAATTTAAAAAAAAACGGAAAAGTAAAAAAATTTAAATATAAAAAAATACTATGTCATTTCTTAATTAAAAAGGATTCCCTGTTTTGTACTTGTTATTTGTTGAACACTTGTAACTTTGTTTTATTTCTTTGGAAAATGTACTGTTACTTCTTGTTAAATAATGTAAATTTCAGTTGGAACCATGTAATAGTAATTCCATAATTGAATATGTAAATTTAAAAATGTAAATATTAGAAATATTACACAAAACAAGCAGTAATGGTAAAACTTTTCCACAACAGACCTGTTTAGGATGCAGTGAAGGAAAGAATTGTATTCTGCATCAACCCCAATTTATGATAATATAGAGGTCACCGAATATTGATTGTATATTAAAAAGAGAAAAAAAAGTGTCAGGTAAAATTGTAAAACAGCAAAAAGTTAAAAACGACAACAACTACAATACAACAAACAAATGAAAATAAGTCTGCATCCTTGGGTTGGTAAAAACACAACTTTTAAGAATTTTTTTATACCTTTGATTCAGATCCGATTTTTGCATAAACTTATTTATTTAGTTAGTATAATATTTCGTATTTACTGTAGTAACATATTTCATAAATTCAATGCAGTTGTCATAGTAAAGAAGTAATTTATTGTATTTTGACTTTTTGCTAAGCATTTACTAGCCTTCAATAATAATGCGTGTAAAGTTCGAAGTGTCATCCTAGATAAGTTATTAAATAAATTTAATTAATTCACTTGTTACCAATAAAATAAATGCTAATACAACTTGGTTAAAACAAAAATCTGCATCCTTGGGGCAAAACTGGGTAGGTAAAAACACAACTTTTAAGAATTTTTTTGTACCTTGATTCAAATCCAATTTTTGCAGTAACTTATTTATTTAGTTGGTATAATAGTAGTATTTACTATAGTAACTGTGTTCATATTTCAAAAATTCAATGCAGTTGTCATAGTAAAGAATGTTAATGTTATGTTAGTAAAGAATATGTTCATTTGTCCAAAATTAGACTTATCTACTTTTGCTCCGAGGGTGGAGATATAATTAAAAATTTGTACGTTTAAAAAGAAACTGCTGCCATGTGTTCTTTTAAAATATAATTTGTAAAATTAGTACAACTAGAATAAATGTGTGCCCACAGGCCAGGAAAAAAACAGTATAGCCAGGATATGAGGGGATTGAAGGAAATAAACTTTAATGTCAAACAAAGAAGTTATGTATGGAAAAAAATCAGGGATGAGGTCAATTAGAAAGAAAGTACTTTGATTAGAAAATTAATAGAACTGGGTCACTATTTGGGTCTGTCTTCACTTACGGGTTTGTAGAACTACACAAATACATCTGTTCCTCACTGAAGATGGCACAATGCCAAAATGCATTTGAGTAGTTTAACAAACACGCAAGTCAAGATGAACCCAATAAGTGACCTAATGTGGTGGTCCAAAAAGGGAAGAAAAAAAGGATTAGTTCCTTCGCCGAGCTTCTGAGGAATCAGGAGCTTCATCTTTTTCCAAACCATTCCATTTTTCTTAGGACTTTGAAATTTTAATTGATAGTTTAAAAGGCTCAATAATATGAACGCCTCTTCAAAATTTAAAACCGATGATTTCAAAAAGAATTAAATTGAATCTGAGGTCATAATCTGCATGCTTGGGGTAAAATTGGATAAGTCAAATTTTGGTCAAATGAGTGCATATTTCTTTAAGTTTAAGTCTGTAGGCCTGATAGACACAATTGATTAAGATGAAACCACTTCCATTTAAATTGTAATCCAATGTACACAATTTAAATTGTAATTGTTTTTAATATATTCAGTTTTGCCTTGAGGGCACAGGACATAATACAAAACATTTATTAATTAAAAGACTAAGTCAAATATTAATTATGCAACAATTGTATTCAAATGAATTATGTTTCAGCTGCGGATATAATGAAACAGTTTTCATTGAAATACGTTTCAATTTTAATTTTACATAAAGGAGTGTTGATACTGGGAAACTTTACAGAAATATAAATCCTCATATGTTTAGCAGTCATAATTGACTGTACTGATTATTTCAATTTTTTTTTTTTCTAAGATCTTGGTTGAGATATGCCACGATAGCTGGTGGTTAGAGTGGCGGCATATTGAGCTGAAGGTTGGGGTTCAGATCCTGCTCATGACACTAACTTCTTCATCCCAACCAAGACTCTAGATAAAAAGTACAATCAATTTATAGAAATAATTGAGGTGAGGTGAGTATTTCAATTCACTTTTAGAAAAGGATGATCAACACACACAAACCGTTTTTAACAGCAGTCCAGATTTCAAGAATTCAACACTCCTTCACGTTGAGAGCAGTGTTTGTAGATTTCAGCCTGATGATGAGCGTTTAATGCTTGAAATCCAGATTGCTACTAAAAATCAGCCTCTGCTGGGTCCCAGGAAATATGGGAGTGAAGGCATACCCATGCAAGAAGAGGGGCTGCTATACCGCTGATAGCACTCGAGCTCTTCTGTGGCATAGGAATTAACAATATCAATGAGCGACTCAGACAGAAGGATAAAAAAATGAGGGAACAATGGAAGAACCTACTGACAAACTTTGAAAGGAGAGAGGTAATGTAAATAGAAGCAGAAAAAAACTGCGAATCCTAACAGGACATCTGAAGATTGGCTAACCCAACACAGCATGAGCAGATTCTACAAAGAAGCAAAGGAGACATCAACACACCTATGAACAAACTGGTGATACTTACTTGCCCATAGGAGGAAATGTTTTGGGACGTACAACGTAACCGAAGAAGAGATTCAACCACTGATACCGGGCCTACCAATGAAGTTCCTTGATGAATTTACCAGTGTGCTTTAAGCAGCTTTAAAGGATGCAGTATAATACGCAGCCCGACTAATACAACTATCTATCTACTAAAAACAGTTTGCAAGCAGAACCATCCTTTCAAAAAAAATTAAAAACTAGGAAACTTTTCCTAAGCGACATTTGGACATCTAATCAACAGTGTGAAAAGATCCACTTAATATAATTTTTGTAGTTGTAGAACATGCTTTTTTAAAAAATCTGAATTTTAATCTTATGGTAAAAGCATTAATCAAGTTTCCTCAGTCCTCAGTCAATACTAAGAGTGTACTGAGCAGATTAAGCTGAACGAAACGTAGGCTGAAAATAAAGCCATTACATTTTTATGAAATTAGCTGGTTGGATTATTTTGTTTTTGTTCATAGACTTATTTTAAAAATAATTTCATGCAATCGTTTCGCATGGATAGGTCTTATAAAAAATCATCTGATTACTAAGAAGAGCAATAGTCAAAATACTTCAGTTATAATTCTGTCCTTATTTTTTATTTTTTTAACTTTGTAATTCCACATGACGATTAGTGATTTAATTACCCAAGGGTTCGACATCCCGTGTATCTTGTAGAGTAATTGCCTGAACTTTGCTCTCAGTGGGAACACTTCGAAGCAAGAGATCATAAAAGAGTACTTACTTTTTGATAAACCTCTTCTTCAGAAACATCTTCATTCTTATCAGCTTCTTCAATTTCCTGAGAAAAACACGTATAAATTTCAGAAACATTGAGTTTGAGTACAGTTCAAAAATCTTAAAAGAAATATAGAAGAGATTAAACAAGGGAGAACAGTGGGCTGCCTCCCTGGCTAAAAAAGAAAAACAAAGAAACGCTGCATATTTTCCCTTACCGGCCTGTTTTAATCAGTATTACTCTATGTTTATAAAATGAGTCGATCGACCAAAAACATAGTTCCAGGAGCTAGAAAATCAATAGGCACTACATCACTTGATTTCCAAGTGGTCAGTCGCAGTTTGAATGCCCTTGTAAAGGCCAACTGGTTTGAAACCAGGCTGAGAAAAGCCGTGCGAAAATATTTTACAAAACAACAAAAATCAAGCAAGAAAACAAACCTAATTTAAAACATCTCAAGGCTAAAAGCACTTAATTATAGTTATATCCCCCATGAGTTGAAAAACTTAGAGATAAAGGCTTTAACGTCATAACCCTGTCGATAAAAGCAACGGAGCATAGTTCCTCTTTTTTAAATTAAAAGCATAAAAGGCCAACTGATGATTCAGCAATGTTAACTGAAGTTATATCTAACTGAAACTAAGTCGATAAATGCATGACAGATCGTTTTGCACGTGATATAATGGAATATGCGTCATATGACAGATATGACATTACCGGCCGGCAAAAGGCGAAAACACTTGGTTCAGGTCGAACTCTGCCGAATTTTATATTTTTAAGAATTCATTTACAATACAAATGCACAGCGTGTGCTTCAGACATAGCTAAATGTAAAATGTATTATGCATTTAAATAGACAACGGTGTTCCACAAGGCTCCGTGTTAGGTCCCCTTATATTTTTAGTGTACGTCAAACGACATTTTGTGCACTAAAAATATAAAAGGAGCATTAACTGCACATTATATTTCTGCTTGGTGTCAGGAACATCTTGGAAGTATATAGACAGATGTAATCCGGCCTGAGACTTGGTGAATGGTTTGCTTATAATTGACTATCTTAGTAGCAGATCAAACTTCATGTGTAGATTGGGGATGAGGCCAGGAAGACAGAAACAACATTTATCTTCTTGTCGAGCTTTTGGCAGAATATATCGCCTTCATCAGGACTTCAAAAAAAATCGTTATACTATATGAACAGGTACATGTGTGGATAACGGATAGCCGGTAGAACCCTATTCTTCTTGGATTCTACCAGCTATCCGTTATCCACACATGTACCTGTTCATATAGTATAACGATTTTTTTTGAAGTCCTGATGAAGGCGATATATTCTGCCAAAAGCTCAACAAGAAAATAAATGTTGTTTCTGTCTTCCTGGCCTCATCCCCAATCTTCCTTTCAGAAAGAAAAAACTATATTTAAACTGAGAAGGCTGATCAATCACCAAAGAAAATATTAAACTTCATGTGCTTTAATCACCGGAATTCGATTAATACTGGCGTAAAAATTAACTTCTAATGTCTCCAATGCCTAGGCAAACTGCTATGTGATAGATGTTTTAAGTGGATCAAGTCCATGAAACTAAAAATAAAAATAGACAACCATTTAAAATAGTATTCTCATAATGATCTAGTACAAAAATGATTTCTATTTATTTATTGTGACCAATATACACTTCTCTTAATTCAATATGCTCTGGTATGCTGAGGGTGCACATAAAACTGCACAAAAAATAGTAGTCATACGGAAAAAAAAAATTAGTGCTATGTTGTTTAAGTACAAATTGGAACACTCTTCCTCAAGTACCACATTTTGCCTGTACCATACCTTTATCTTTTTTGAACTGTGAGGTTGTTTTTTAATGGATTTGAAAATTATATCGACAAATATAAAAAAATTAAATATATTAGATGTCTTATAACAAGCTTCTTATGACAGATATGACATTACTGGCCGGCAAAAGGCGAAAACACTTGGTTCAGGTCGAACTCTGCCGAATTTTATATTTTTAAGAATTCATTTACAATACAAATACACAGCAAGTGCTTCAGACATAGCTAAATGTAAAATGTATTATGCATTTAAATAGGCAACAGTTTCCACAAGGCTCCGAGTTAGGTCCCCTTATATTTTTAGTGTATGTCAAACGACATTTTGTGCACTAAAAATGTTGCCCCAACCAAAATTAACAGTTATGTTGGATTGTTTTCTGCATGATAAGCATAAGTGGTTATGTTTGGTCCCTAATGAGATCAAATGTGAAGTAAATCCAAAAATAATTTCTAGAGTCAAATGTTGGCTTTTTGAGTATGTGGCTTAAAACAAAAACAAAAATTAGTATCTACTATTTAAAAAGGAAATTCTTAGTTTTCACGTTTGTTTAATCTATTCTTATAAGTTGTAAAAATTATTGTTCCTATTGTTTTCTTTTCTACACATTTAGAAATATTATGTTCCCAATTTACTAGTTTTCCCTTCAATACTTCTTTTTTTACCATTGCATTTTCGGCAGCCCTTAAACAGGATCTACCTTCGCATCAACTTTTGTTATAAAAAATGTACATAGTTTTCTTTTATACTAGGAAATTTGTACCAATTGTATATTTTCTGTATTATGTGTTATCCTAATACTGTTGGTGAAAAATAATTCAACATAAGCAAAAGAAATGTGCTCAATTCAATTCAAAGATATCATCCAAATCTCTGGGACAATTCTGTCAATTTTTCAGGCAGTAGCTGAGACCCACACGAATGACCATCAGCTAGCCTGGGGCATTATAGTAATGTTCGGTTAGCTCAAAGAGCTTGAGAAATGCCTAGCACTCCTCCAAAACAATAGCCAGAATCTGAGGGAAATGAAGATAAAACTTTAATAAGAAGTTGTGTATTAAAAAATGATCATGGATGAGAATAGTTTGAAAGAGCAGAGTAAGTTTCTCCATCAAGCTTACAAGGAACCATCATCAGGTCTTTAATTAAAACATTAGTTAATACTTTAAAAGGTGGAAAAATATGAGGCCTATCTTGCCTTTGAAAACAATAAAGTATAAATTAAGGCCATATAGCACCAAGTCAAACAAGCATTTGGCAATTTCAAAGCCTCTCAACAATCACCATACAAGGTGCAGTGTATAAATTATATTGAAAAGAAAATGATAATCAGTAATAATCAAATTACAGATTTATCAACCCACAGAGACCATAGAAGGTCTCACTGATATAATCCATTAAACATTTGTCATTATCTTGTCATATTAGACATATCTCAGTGCTTTGTCATCTTTTCACATGATTCACTGAAAATATCAAAATGACAAACTAGTCTGATAAGCCTAGCAAGAATAGACAGACCAAGATGGCCTGAATAACCAAACTTCATATTTCACAGCCTTCATCATGAAATCTCTAATAATTAGATTATTTTATTTGTAATAAACATAGAAAATCAGAAAGCATAATGTTTTAGAGTTTTATGCCATTAAAACAGTTAAATAACAATGCTATTTATATTTATAAACTGATGTAAAACAATTTTAGCAATTATATTTCTTTGTGAAAATTTGTGTGATACCAACTGTACGAATAAACAATCACAGAAGATATTAAAATGACAACATACTTCTGTCTGACAAAACCAGGTTGAATAGATAGATCAGGATAATCAGAACTTAGACAATTAATATAAAAACAAATTTCTGTTTGGCCTTTATTTACTTACCTATACAAAGTGGTTGGAGCCTGATAATCTTTTATTTTCCTCATTTTCCAAATTTTAACACGGAAAACTACGAAATGTATTTAAAACTTCAGACAGTTATTTGAAAGGTTTGATACTGTTATTTTTGAGGCCAGTCAGGATTAGTAATGTTGCTAAAAATAGTGGTTTTCAAGATTCAAACAGTAGGCTAATGTATACAGAATTAAGTTATTAAAAAGTTATTTAAAAAATAAATAAATGTCAATTCTGATATTACTATTACAATTATGAAATGTTGCCATACTTTTGGTAATTTTTTCATATGTACATTAAATCAATTACATTACTCGTATGTTTATTATTTTTTTCACCAGCAAAGATTTGTCCTTACAATCATATATGTTGTGCCCATATCATAAAAATACCATCATGAATCAGTGCCTACAGTACTCTGGAGATATTAGCAGTTTCGAGGAGGGTGTTGGTGGCCGCAACAGTTTAAGCATTGACACAGCGCGACTCTCTAAGGTAAAGATCCCGGGTTCGAATCCAGCAGCCCTGCATTCAAACCCAACATACTTACAAATGGGCTTTTTTTCAAAAACACCTGTTGCAAACCCTTGTTTTAAAAAAAAAGTTCTGCAAAAAGCTTTTCAGATTGTAAGCTTTTTTAAATATTTTTATTAGTCGAAATTTTGATTAAATAACCTGTATAACTAATTTGGACATTCACTGAGATATTGCCAATTTTCTGGCATACTTGATTAAATTCCTGTTGAGCATTTATTTTTCCAAAAATTTGAACAAGAAATAGTAAAGGTGGGGTGAGTATGTAAACTGCTCAAATATGAACAGGTAGTATTTACCATCCCTTGGATTTTTAATTTATTTTTATTGAAAATTGCATTTAAATTTATTAGAAATTATTGTTTTTTTACTGATGAAAAATTTAATTTAAGGGATTTTGAAAAATAAAAGTATTTATTTAGAAATCATGAGATGCGATCTGGTGTGATGTAGGTTTCAGAAAAACATTTTCTTTATCGTGCCAACATTTCGATCTTTATTGAGATCATCTTCAGGGCCTGGGATTTACAAACATTGTTTACATATTACAATTACATTTTGGTAATATGTAAACAATGTTTGTAAATCCCAGGCCCTGAAGATGATCTCAATAAAGATCGAAAAGTTGGCACTATAAAGATAATGTTTTTCTGAAACCTACATCACACCAGACCGCATCTCACGATTTCTAAATAAATATCGATTAACAGTCACTAATCACCACACATAAAATAAAATGTTTTCATTCCATAATTTTGTTTATAGGACAGAGAATTTTTTTAAACAATTAACACCGAGTATAATGCCCTCTGTTAGCTAAAACCTCTGTGCACCTGTTAGGCAACTGTTGTCACTAATTTCACAAGGAATTCCACTCTAAAGATTTTGCAACGCTGCACTCAGTTGTTGCAGATCAACTGGTTGCGGATAGTAATAGAAAAGCCTCTGTCCAACACATCCCACATGTGCTGGGGGCATTTGGGAAATCCCCAGGTTTTCTAAACGTTGATGAACAACTCTACCTCTATGAGATCTGGCTCATCAAGAAATTGAAAATCCCCACAAATGAGATCCCTGATTTCTTGGACATAACGGACTATGGTGAGATTGCCTCTACAATATGAAGTCCAGTTCATACTCCAGTGCAAACCCCAGCCCAGACCATTACATTGCCTCCTCCAAACAGCACTGAAGGGAGCACAAATTAGGGAATTGTATGCATCCCCTGTTCTCAGTACACTCTTTGGTGCCTGCTATCACTATACAGACAGAAATGCAACTCATCAATAAACATAGCAGCATTCTATTGGTGTTCACTTCTAGGTGCTCATTGCACCATATTCTCCTGAGTTGCTGGTGGTGGGCTGTTGCTGCAGGTCGTCTCAAACAGGCATACAATGTCATGCCAACTTCTCATAAACAATTACGAATCATTTGTGTTGATAAAGGCTTTGTCAAAACATCTTATACTTCATTTAGGATCTGGTGAGCACTATGGAAAGGGTTCCATCTTGCAGCAATGACAATATTTCTGTCCTCCCTTTGCATCGTAATGCACTGAGATCCACTACCAGGCACCATTGGAACTTCCAGTCTCTTGGAATCGGGTTAAAGCCCGGGAGATCAGGATCTAAGAAACACCAACTGCCTCTGCGATATCCACTTGCCAGTGACCTCGACTGACTCAATCTCACAACAATATTGCAAACTTCTCGCTCAAGATGATGTCTTTACACGGTAAAATAGAATACAATTGAATTAAAATGGAGAAAAGGCGATAAATGGTGTTTATTTGCAAAATGAGTAATCTTCAAGTTTACATACTTGAGTAAATCCGTTATTAAAAATGAAGATTAACATATGTTTGTTTTTGGTTTGTATTTTCATTTTGCTCAACTAATAAGAATATGTCGGTTAATTTAATTAAAATTAATAGAATGAGAATAAATTACAAATATCCCTATTCATTTTTGAGCAGTTTATGTAATAATTTAAGATACTTGATTATAAAACGACCTAAGGTTAGATTTCAAGCAGTTTAGATTCACTTTTTGTAAATGATGGTTGTACACAATTAATTTAAAATTTATTATTAAGTTTTAACTTCTTACATCTTTTTTTAAATTCAATTCAGTTAGTTTAATCCCGTAGGAGTACTGCACTGATCATTATAATTAAATCAATATGCTGTCTGTAGTAAGGGTGGTTTTGAAAAAAAAGCCCATTTGTAAGTATGTCGGGTTCGAATGCAGGGCGCCGCTGGATTCGAACCCGGGACCTTTACCCTACAGTGAAGAGCGCCGTGTCATCGCCTAAACCGTTGCGGCCACTGACGCCCCGTCAAAATCAATTTGCTGTTAACCAGAGATGTACTGCAATACTATTCAACCAGATTTTCAAAATTAATTGCTTAATAGAGAAATATGTACATATAAGAAAGCAAGCCTGTTTATTGTCATTAATACAAATATACTGTCAGTTTTAAAAACAAGAGCTCGATTTTCCACGATCTGTGGGAGTTCATTGGATGCATGTTATTTGCTTGACTGTCATTTGATTTGATTCTACAATCTAGGGTCGAATATAATCGATTATTGTGCTATCTTATGTAAATAAACTGATAAGTGTGTTGTCTAATGTTGAAATTGCTGGACATTCGAGTTTGAGAATATTGTGGAAATGGATACTGGCCAGAAAAAGGAGGACGATGTCCTCCAGGACGATTTCTGCCTCCGTTTATCGTCGAACATGATCACCTTCCAGGGCGTGAGTAAATCCCTTTTGACAAACGTATGCTTCGACGAGTGTAACATCCAAGTGTTCAGCATACTTTCTGGCCAGGACACGACCGAAGTGACAGTCAGGAGCCCTTACTGCGACTTTTGTACAAACTTCAGCATAGAGGAAAAAGGAAGAGTGATGTCAATCAAGTTTTCTCCGGATCAGGAGATCCTTGCCCTCCAACGGACACCTTCGACAATTGAGTTTTTTACGTTCAAAGAGAAAAAGGTGCACAAAGAGTTTTCGCAATCGTTCAAAGGCGTAACACTCCTCGGGTATATGTGGTCAAGTGTGAACGACCTGATTGTAGTGATGAACACTGGTATTAAACTTTTCAAGATTGACGCTAAGTCGTGTACTGTGTCCGCATCGAAGAACTCACTGAACCTCAGCGCAGGATGGTACACATATCATTCATTGAGTGGCCTCCTTCTCGTTAAAGTCCTCGAGCTCGGTAAACCTGCTCAGCTGCTTCAGATCAGAAAAGGACAAATTTCTAAATTAACAGCTTTTGATTTGTACTCTGACTCTGACTACAAGGGCCTTTCAAACATAGATCGTGATGATGTTATAATCGGCATTGTCTATAACAAACCGAGAATATTATTTGTCAATTATCGCACTACGAATACCATGGCGCAGGCAGAAGTGATTGTCAGGACATTAATAAATGCAAACGAAGTTAAAGTCACTAACGTTCTCAGGATAAACTCCGGAGGTAGGTTTGGCCTGAATGTTGTTGATAATTTGATTATTGTGCACAACCAAAATACAAAATCCTCATTGATATTTGATATTACCAACGCTCCTTTTGAAGGAGTTGTAACAACGCACAAACCACTCGTTGAGCCGATGTCCTTAAAATCCACATCTCACTCTCAAGCTGTACAGTGTGAGTTGTACTCACCAAACTGGGTTATATTTCAACCAAACATTATTATGGATGTAATTAAAGGATGCCTCTGGGGCCTCGAGTTGAATCTAAACGGATTTTATAAACATTTTGAAAACAAAAATAACTTAATCAAGTTCCTTCTATTAAGGAAAAACTCTCAGATGATAATTGCAAATATTTTACTTGAAATTGCGTTTGACCCAGCAAGGCTGGAAGAGCTTGCAGAGGCTTTTTATGAAATTAATAAGATTTATAGGTCCTACCTGGAGTGGAGTATGAAGAGTCAACTTTCACAGCCAATTAAAGATACCAAAGAAGATGACTTTCATATTGAATTGAGAACAATCCTAGACGAGGAGTTTTTGAACAACAATGTCTTCATGAAGCTTGAACGCGAGGTACAGAAAAAGAAAGAAGACAAGAAAGCGTGGAAAATTTTAACATGGACTTTAATAGAATATATACGCTCTCTGACAGATTTCCAAATCCCAGCGGAACATTTTATATACGAACTTTTAATACAGTCTTTAGTTGCGAATGATAATTATTACCAGCTTCACCAGCTTCTTCAGTATCACGTGATAGCCGATTCGAAACCAATCGCTTGCCGACTTCTGTCTTTACAAAACGAATACCCAGCTGCTGCCCAGCTTGCAATAGACATGCTGGAACGGCTGGGTTCAGGGCGAGAGGAAATAACAGAAATCCTTCTGTCTGATGCGCAAGTTTTGACCTGCTTGAGGTACACAACTGAGAAAATGGAATCTAATGAAATGCAGTTGATGCACCTGGCGGAAAAATACATGGCTGCTGCAGCTCCGAATCAAATCCTTCAACACTCAATAGCCAATTATTTTGAATCAAAACTAATCATAATCAACGGAACTGGTAATTAAGGAGAAAAACGCTATTACAAAGACTGTTGATTCAATCAAAGGTTCTGCATCAGCACACAGTACACTGTATATATTATATATATGAATAATTCATGTATGTAAATTAATTGTGTGTAGCAAAGCTGTGGTTTAATGGTTTTTACAAAACCAAAGGTGAAAAATTTATTATTTCCTCTTGTCCAACAGTGTTTTGACTAGTGATGTTAAAATTAAAAAAAAAATTGTTTATGCTATACTTCACTTAATAAATGTTGTCAGTACAATTGTTATATGCCATAATAGTTTTATGTTAAAAAAAAAAAAAAAAAGGTCTAGAATTTCATTTTCTTAATTTATAATTTTACATTTTCATAGCCACATTTTTATATATAATATCCTATAAATTATTATAAAATTATATTATTTTTTATTCTGTGATATTGTTAAAGAGTGTAAAAGAATATATACTATTTGAGCACATCTGTGTTTAACTCCACCCTTCTGGCATTATTAAGGAACTTTCATAGAAAAAAAATCTAATAAATTGTTAGGAAAAATACGTACAAAAAAATCAATATAAATCATAATTTGTAGTTAAAAGATTAATCATCCTGATTAAATATCAAAGGGGATGTCATTTCATGATTGTTTATACCTTATAAATAATAATTAATTTGTTGTAATGAGGAGCAGTCAGGAATGAAGTGTTTTAGGAAAACACGTTTTTCATTTTTTTTGCCGATATTTCAACCTTTATTCGGGTCATCCTCAGGGCCTGGGCGAGTTACAAAACATGTTTATTGGAAATTCGAATGCGGAATTATAAACAGGTTTTAAAATACTAATATAATTTGGCAAATATTTAGTTTTGTTCTTAGTTCCTGGTACACATATACTTGTAGATTGTAAAATTTTTCGACTACACTACTGAAAGTAAAATAAAAGTAATAAAAATTGGTTATATTTAACGTGTTTTGTACAGTGCAAAAAATTCAATTTTTTTAAAAAGTTAATTTTAATTTAATATGGTGGTAAAAATATTGGAGTTCCTGGGAGATAAATAGTGAGCAAAAAACGAGGGACCAAACTAAGTTATTTTATATTAAAAAAAAAAAAAATGGTGTGTTTAGTTAAAAAAATAACCAATTGTCTACATGAACAAAAAAGTTTAATTTATACGAAATAAGAAAAATGATCTAATCGGATTTAGCATGAACCTTAGGGTTCGTCTAAAACCCTGAATAAGACATAATAAAAGTCAAAATCTCGACAATAGTCCAACAATATTGTGTTGTTTTATGCACCACATACTTGAACATAAAAAAATCAAACTGAATAAACAAAAAGACTGACTTTGTACAACTGTGCAAAAATATCTAAAGCTTTTAAAGAAAATGTATTAATATTTCTCATGTTGGAGTACACAACCCCTGTGCATGCAATATCTGAACAGTTTGCAATATCGTTAAACACTTTGTAAAATAATTTTTCAATTAAAAATAGTTACATGATTAACAATAGTTATACCCTGTACCTGAATTAAATTAACGCTAATTTTTTGGGGAAAAAACTTGCATACTCAATTAAAAATTATTTCAGTTGTTCAAGCATTCAATTTTAGAAGTAAAAATTGATCATTCAAATACAAGTTAAATATATTCAAGCGTCCAAAAATTTTAAAAAATTATACACCAGAGCAACAGGGCAATAACATTATTAATCTGGAATAAACAAATATCGGGAAAATTAATAAAGAAATAAAGCTGACAAACCGGAATAGTCTTTGAAGGCCTCTAAGATGTAGTGATGCTAAACAACAAATGATAGTGAGCAAGGCTTTCTTTTACCCATTAGGTAGGGTTGCTCAAGAGACCACTTTCCTTCCTGTGTTAGTGGCACTGGTAATATTACATAACGGCCTTGAATGGACCCAGTTGAATGCCCGTGTTTACCATCAATTGTTTATACAACAAAACCCATCTCAAGTACAATTTTTAATAACAATTTTTTAGTAATAAAAGTGGTATTGAGTATATTTGACGATTTGTTAAATTAAGAGAGTGAATGGATCTGATGCAATGCCAAACTTTCTCTTCTTCCAAAAAAAGTTATGTTAATGATTCTTGCACACTTATGAGACCACAGTAAAGGTGTCACATTAAATAATAATTATTAGTGAGGTTAGGTAGACCAAAAATGGTTGGTAATGAACAAATTATAGGTTCATCATCCTACAGACACCAGGAGAAATCTCACAGTAATAATTATTATTATTAAAACGAAAAGTAAGGAAGGGAGATGTTTCAAGTATTTTACTGTTTTTTCTGAACACTAGAGATTTTTGATTAGGGAATCTGCATACTATAACTTTTAAACTGTTCTAGATAAAATTAAAACTACGTCTAGTAAAATGTTAATGTTATGAAATGTTTAACAGTATAAATAATGTTATCTTGATAATTTATTTTAATCTTGATTTTTCTTCTGGAAATTTTCATGTTTGTGGTTTATAAATATTGTGCAGTCTTCTTCTTGGAATCAAGCACAATAATCATTATAACAACAAAATTATGGGGCGTCAGTGGCCGCAACGATTTAGGCGACACGACGCTCATCACTGAAAGGTAAAGGTCCCGGGTTCGAATGCAGGGCCGCTGGATACTTACAAATGGGCACCGGCACCCAAACCACCATCCAATCACTCATTTGTATCGAATTGTTAGCCATAAATCATGGATATTGAAGACAATTTGATTATCAATTTTGTAAATACAGCGAATTATTACGGCTTAAAGATATTCCTTGTCAAGATTTTCAATCAGTAGAATTTTAATTAGTAGTAATTTATTATATTTATACAGTATTTATTATAATTTCAGTATTTATACAGCGGATTAGCAGCCATTTCCCTGATGGAAATTTTGCTATTTGCATGGATTAACTCAGTGATATCTTCGAAATCCATATTAAAATCTCAATTCTTCATTGAACCAGGATATAAAAAAAGTAAAAAAAAAGAATTTTGATCTTTACTGGATCTACAGTCTTGCTGGTATTGAAGGAAATGAAATAGTTAATACAATCAATAAGGGAGCTGCAACCCTGCCACATGATCCGGAGAGTGAGGAGACTCCAGTCAGTCCAGCAGATGCAAAATAAGAAATGGAAAGAGTTAGTTGGAATGATTGGTAAACTTTCTATATAAAAAAATAATAATGTTAACCCGCCTAAGGCCATACTTGATTAACCTATTGGCACCAAGATAACACAACCAAAAAATATATACTATCTGAATTTGAACATCTGCAAGAATACCATTAAAAGCTTTTTAAAGCTGAAAGGCTTTTATCCAGGTGTGGCTGCATTTTTTGGTGAAAATGGTTGAGCATGCACAGGTGTTTGATAGAATGTTGAGTTTCACATAGACCCATCAAGGTTAATATGTGTTTGAAATATGATAGGAAGGAGAAAGACATTGGCGTAATATAAAAACACTGGTTAATACATAGTGAATGTATTTATAAGCGAGAATGATTAAGCGCATGTGTGTGGGATGGATGGGTCTGTGGTGAAATATAGAGTACCCCTCAAACTGAGTGCCACAACTATGCTACAAGGGCGCCGTACAAATTTTCTATAAAAAATATAATTTTTATATTTATAAAAAAATTCTAAAAATTAAACCCTCCTTTTTAATACCATAAAAACTAAGACCTTCGTGGCCATCCAATCTCAATATGAATGTTAACAAAACAGCTGTAATTGTGCCTTTTATATTATTGCCAAAAAAAAAGTATTCACTTTTATATTTTTACTAATAAGTGCGCAATCGCTTTTCAAAAGGCAATTTTTCTTTTCAATTTCACAAGAAAGGTGTAGTTTAGATTATTCATTAAATTCACTAGTTTCATGGTCCGCTTGACCAATTAATATCATAAATTAATTAAGGTTTTTAGTTGAGATAAAAAAAGTCAATGGCATGAGCGGGATTCGAACGCACGATCTTCAGCTTGATACGCCACTGCTCTACCGCTTGAGCTATCGTGACCTTGAAAAATGGCAAAAAGGAGGGAAAATTCAAAAGGTGTGGTTGAGATGGGAAGTTGGGGTCCGGTGGATCGAGGTCACGATAGCTCAAGTGGTAGAGCAGCGGCGTATCAAGCTGAAGATCGTGGGTTCGAATCCCGCTCGTGCCATTGACTTTTTTTATCTCAACTAAAAACCTTAATTAATTGTATTGTTCATTAAATAAAATTACGGACAAAATAAAAAATTTAGATATACCAATGCTTTTCCAGATTGAAAATAAATTACTACAATTATAAATTTCACATTGAGATACTGCTGCAGAAAAATTCTGGTATATTAAGGGCACCGGAGAGAGAAATAGTTTGAGAACCGCTGGAGTACCCTACAGACCTGCTGATACAGTTAGCCTAATTATTATTATGAATGCGTGTAGCGTTACAGCTTGGCGAATCACTGAATAATATTAAAACGATGTTAGCTCCTGAATTTTTAATTGCAGATGTGGTTTGAAAGGTTCTGTCCTGTACGAATATATTTATCGGTGTGAATTATGGGCGTATAGGAGTTACGAACTCATAATTAACCGTGCTAGCCTCCCAACTGTAGGTTCAGGTTGTATTAGTTTTAGGAGTGGTCTCTCTGTGGTATTTTGAGTTCTCCGAGTCCCACCAAACTTAGATTAGATTATTGTTTGCAATAGGATGAATGTGTAAATGCAATTAAGTATGACTGCAATTTAAATATTACGTAAACAAAAACAAATGTTTTTAACATTTAATTGACACAATTTATATCATTATAAAACACAATAGGTCCATGATGCAACCACTATGAAATGCTAATTTGATATTTTATGTAAACACTTACAAATTAATATATTTTTTCTCTTGAATAATTATAATTAATTGTAATCATATGCAAAAGCAAATAAATAATTTTATTCTCCAAATAACAAATAAAGTGTAATTTTTCTTGTTCAGTATTGGAACGATTCCAGTTTAGAGGATATGGGCTATTAATCAAAAAACATTTATATAAAGTTAAATAGTATAATAAATATACATTGAATTTTTATTAAATGTGCCCTTCATTATCAATGAATATCTAATACATTGTAACCTAATAAATAATGATTTTATATGAGTTAAATTTAATTATCTTATGAACTCATGTAATAGTATCAAGTTTTTGTTTGAGCTTTTATTTTCTTTATAACTAAAGGAAAAGTAATTTACTAACCTTATACTTGTTTATGCAAAACATTAAAAATCATAATATTGAACCATTGATGTTCATTTATCAAATGTAGTTTGACAGTGCAAATAAAAGAAAAAATTATCCTCGCTTGGCAGGGCATATTGAGTAGGCCTTTAAAATCGGCCAAGGAAAGTCCAACGAAAACATGTAAAGGTTTGCAGCATACTAAATTGCCAAAAGATATAATCCATGAGACAATGGGTTAAAAATTAGTCCTAATTCAATGGGAATGTGGATGAGACATGGGAAAAATTTCATCAAAGGACCAACTGCTCATCAGGATCAATTTAAATTTTTTAAACCTATATCTTAAATTTAGAATACATATTTGTAGCATTGTTCAATAAATTTTTATTGATCTCGGCAAAAATTATAGACTAACAATAAGTTTAACAGTTATACATTACTACAATTTGTTGAGCTGTTATAAAATATATTTTCACAAATTAATTGTAATATATCATCTATAATATCTTGTGCTAATAACGAATATATCACACCATTAGTCTTTACTCATCCTCCCTTGGTTATAGTTAATAAAATATCAATCTTCTTTATCACAGATTTCCCAGGAATGATTGTCCTCATTGAAAATCACAATACCTTCTTTTTCAAGTTTCTTAAGATGTTGAGTTACGTTATTCCCTGCAGCTAGGTGCAACCTTTTTGGAATGTCCTGTAATTAAAATTTAGAATGTAAATTTAGAAAAAATACAATTTTTCAATTTTCAATTGAATAAGTAAGTTACTTACAGCATAAAGTACGGAGACGATGTTGGATACTGTCATTTCTTTTTTACTTTTTTTCAGTAAATCAATAATCTGGGATTCTCTTTTCATTCTATGGTCAATATATTTCTGAATTTCGCCGCATGGCTCCTTAAATAAAATTGAAAAGCATCTGAATAAAACATGCAATGACAATAGTCAAATTAGAAAATGAGCAGGTTTGAAATTGGTTTCTTATATGATTTGTATCAAGACAGCAATAAAATATAAATTAAAAAAAATTACATTTATTGTATATCCATGGCCAGGATATATTACACTTGGTTTCATATCTAGGATTTTTTTCAGGGATTTCATATAATCGTACAAATCTTCAAATACAGCAGTACTCCCACCTAAAATGCAGTCTCCGCTGAATATGGCATTTTCCTCAAAAAGCTTAAGGACTATATGATCTGTAGTATGTCCGGGAGTTGATACGACTCTAAAATGACAAAAAAATAAATCAATTTTCAAATAATGACTGAAACATTTATACTGATTTTATTTGAAAGTTATTACTTTAAGGTGGCACCTTGAGTTGAAAACTGCTGGCCGTCAAATAAATAACCCAAGGATATCTTACCCCAAGTTGGTGAATTTTCGGCATCAGTCCTTGGATACTTCCAAACTTTTGGTTCTGAATATGAACAAAAAACAATTTAAAAAAAGTAATAAATAAATAAAAATAAAAAATGTAAAGATTAAATTCACTAATTTCGTGGTCCGCTTGACCAATTAATATATCACAATTAATTAAGGTTTTTAGTTGAGATAAAAAAGTCAATGGCACGAGCGGGATTCGAACCCACGATCTTCGGCTAGATACGCCGCTGCTCTACCACTTGAGCAATCGTGACCTCGATCCACTCGGACACCAACTTCCCATCTCAACCCCACCTTTTGAGTTTTCCCTCTTTTTTGCCATTTTTCAAATGTCGTGTAAGCGGATTGGATTCTCGGCAACAAATGAAATGGCCACGGAGAGCTTTAGTGAAGTATACTTCATTTCAAATCATTAAATTCACTAATTTCGTGGTCACTGAAAACCTTAATTAATTGTAATATATTAATTGGTCAAGCGTACCACGAAATTAGTGAATCTAATAAATAACTCTGACACTTTGACAGACCAACACAGCGAATGAATAAAAAAACGGGAAGGAAAACTCAAAAGGTGGGGTTGAGATGAAGTTGGTGTCCAAGTGGATCGAGGTCACGATTGCTCAAGTGGTAGAGCAGCAGCGTATTTAGCCGAAGGTCGTGGGTTCGAATCCCGCTCGTGCAATTGACTTTTTTATCTCAACTAAAAACCTTAATTAATTGTAAAGATTAAAATTCAATAATGGTATATTACCATTTGTGATTTTTTTAAAAATATCCTCAACTCCACCAATGTGGTCTTTATGCCAGTGCGTTATTATTATATGTTCCAAGTCTACTTCTTCATCAATCAGATAGTTTGTTAGTAGCTTTATGTATTCAGACTTACTGGGTTCGCCTGTATCTATCAGAATACGTCTAAAAAATAAAAAACAGTTATAACTGTTTTATGTTAATAATGTTTGTTAAAGGGATTTATTTAAATATTAACAAACTGGTTATAATGTTAAAATAATAAAGTACATTAAATAAGTAAATTAATTTTTTCTTTTCTATTCTGCTTTGTTTTTTTAATGGTTTTCTAGTTTGATAAAGACAACAAACAGATGTTTTTCTTTTTATCTATTCCATTTCCAGTTTCCATTCATTCTCATTTGAGTCCTCTTTAGGTGTTAATTTTGCCAAATTCAAGACTACCATGTTTTTTTTATAAATGGTGGAATAATAAAAAAAATCGTTTTGTTGTACTTAATGTGCTAGAAAACCATTTAAAAGCAAAGTAAATAGAATCCTAGTGACGTTAACACTGAAAAATATATACGAAGAGTATTCTGCTGAAGAGTTTCTCATTTTAAATATTCTAATTTCTTAATAATTTTTTACAAACTATAGTTGTTTGGAGTGTGTATCTTCCCTGTATAATAAATTATAAATTACACGCAACATCCTTATTGAATATAAGGATAATGGGAAATTCTATTTTACTTACAACTGAGAACAAAAACTTTTTTTTAAATATCAATTTGAACTGTACTTTGTTCTTGCAGTGCTACTTAAAGGTTTTGGGCTGGGACAAATTCAAATAGAAATTTGTTGGTTACCAATCATTTTAGTCTGCCCATCCTCATCGGGTTTGTCAGACGTATTTCGGCATTTCTCTGTCTTAAGTGTATGTGTGTGATTCTGTGTAGTTAAGTGTCTTGTACCAACAAACAAGGAGGCAGACCAAAGTGATCAATAGCGACCAAATTTCAGGTTCATCACCCTGTGCAGACGACATGGAGAAATCTTACAAAACATATTTCTACCTTTTCTAAGTTTAAAAAAATCTATTTCTGATTTGAAAGAGTATGAATGAAAAAAGAAAGTGAGAATTCAAGACTGTAGTATATTGAGTTACTATATGATCTGATCTGCCCTGGGTGTACTAGTGCAAGTGAAAATTATACTTATTTCCTATTTATTAATTGTGTAAATTGGATTAGATGAAAACTATTTGGACTTAGTCTAATATAAATTGTATGTGTTTAGAGTCCTCTGAAATCTCTCCTTTTCTTTAAGTCCTAGAGGATTCTAATTAGTAGTAATGAGAATTAAAAAAAAATTATATATCTTTTACTTAAAATTAGTTTTGGCTTTAGAGATGAAGGATACAAAGGTTAATATTATTCTTCCTCAGTAAGTAAATTTCTGTGAGTCCTAAAAAACTTGTTTAGAAAGCAGGACCTGTCAGAAGTGTAGTACTGATTTTATTTGCAGTTTGATTTTCATGGGGTTGGGAAGTAATGATTTCCGATCATTTTGGTCTGCCTATCAATCAAGCTTTTTGATCGCTTCGGCATTTTATCATTTTCGGTGGATTCAGTAGATGCCTCATCTGCTGACATACCTGGCAAATCAAATCAGTGAGGGTAGTGGATCATAAGAATTGGTTTGATTAAACTACAGGTTCATCACGCTGCAAATCCCATGGAGAAATTTTGCAATTATTTTTACTGACGAATTTTACTGTCATTGATATCTTCTGACCTAATCTGTGTAAGAGTGAAGGTTCTAGGACCAGCACACCTTGATGCTTGTCATGTCTGCTGGCATTTTTAGTACCACTGATTCCCTTATTCATTGAAACTCAAGTCAGTCTACTCTCGATCGGAAATTATATGCAGCGGATTCTTCTGATAGTTTGGTTCTTATTTGTATTATTTCATTTCCGAGAGCACTGAGATTACCCATATTTTCTTGCTCTTTTCGAATAAAAAATATGTGAAATTAATGGTGTGTAATTCTTCGTAGAAAGCTGGCAGTATTCCTCAGATAGTATAGCCTTTTTGAATCTATTGGTATACCAAATAAAGATTGATAGCCAATTGTTGAATTCTATAATCTCACATAGGTGTAAAAAGCACTTTGTGTCATTATCATTAAACTACATGGGCCAAATTTGCTCTCGAGTAAATAAAAAGTCAATATTGCGAAGACAACGGTATAATCAGTCATGCTGTTTCCGCAGGCCAACTTTCCAATGATTCCATTTAAAGATACAATAATTAATTAAATCGTTTTAGTTGAAAATTATAAATATAATGCAAGGAAAGCTTTCTTATAGTAAAATAAGTTTAATGGCTTTGAATTGTATTATATTAGGGCAAGGGATCTACTCACTTTGGTCCATTCCCAACGACGTACGTGTTGGTACCATCCAATGTCATCATTCCAGGATTACACCCAAGGATCCTGGTCACCAAGTTGGTGATTTTCACAATTTTCTGCACTGAAGATGACATTTCACAGACATAAATCTCCCATGAGTATCGCTAATAAGTGAAAAGATCTTATCGCTAATTATTAGAATAATGTTTACGGCTGCTGTCAAAATAATTTATGTGTCTATCACAGTAACTAATGAATTAAAAAATATTCAAAAATAAAAATAAATAAATCTGTCTGAAAATAACTTCAAAATTGCACCAATTTCTTATCAAATCAACATTAAGGTTCCAATCCTTATCAATAATTTCCCCGCGCTTTAGCGCGTAGTTTGTTGGTAATTGGTATGTTGTGAGGAGTGAGGACTGAGGAGTTAGGACTACTGAAGCCTGAAACACTAACAAGCAACTACACGCTTATTACCTTGTCCAGACATTAAAAAAGACAGAACTTTTAATTATTATTCTCCGGAATGGCAGCTAACCTTCGAAAAAAATTAAAGGTAAAGGGAAAATAAATATAAACCTCAAGAAAGAAGGGTAACAATTTTTTTAAATCTTAATATTAAGTATGATTTTTAACTAACTTTAAGTAAGAAGCATGCACTTTGAGAGTCTCATCTCATAATCCCTTCAAATGATAATATTCCATTAGAATTTAACGTTTTATACAACTTTACGTATTATACTGATGTATAACACTCTCCCAGCCATCTACTACATTTCTCTTCGAGCACCTTTGGCTTCACAAATTTTAAACCTTACTGATATTTTATATTTATCTTTTATTATGTTGTTTATTGTACATATACGTACAATATATAGAAAGTCTGGCATTGATTTCTAATTCTACCACATTAAACTATGAAATCTAACTATACTTTTCATCTAAAGTGTTGAGTCTGGGTGATTGTGGAATGCACAGGTATGTGAACAGTAGGAGAAAACGCCTGAAGGTGGCTCCAGACATGCGGTATTCACTAAATGACGCTGAAATTTTGTCGTCTTGAGCCAAATAGCATGCCTTGTACACACATACGGGGTTTTATACAACCACGCAGTTTGTGCGGAAACCGCATATTCACTAAGTGCTGTGCAAGTCGTCAACTTACTACCAATCGTGATGGACAACAGTGAACCTGTGGTTTTGTGTAGTGGCTAGAAACTCAGTCAAAAATCAGTCATAAATGTTGCTTCATCTTACTTTCGATTCGTTTCCACGCATTTTTTTTTTTTTAATTTTTCCCATCCACCTCTCTGCCGTACCTAAGGGAGACCCCATACTGGCGGACCACGGCCACTAAACTAATTCAAGTGGGATGCAAGTTTAGGGGATCTTATTGTGCTTAACGTCTTCCTTCGACCTTGCCCTGAAAGGGAAGACCCAAGGAAGAAGGGAAATTTTTTTCTTATTATTAATTTATCTAATCTAATAGGTCTCCCCCTTGCTGGTTAATCCTTTTGAATACACTTTCTAATAAATACAATATTTTAATAAATAAATAACAATTATGGGTACAAGGAATAACCAGCCCGGAATTAAAAGTTCACGGAAACGCTAAGATCTAACAAGTAACTTATCATTAAAAGAAAAGGAAGAAAAAAGAAAGTAAGAAAAATTAATCAGGTACTTTATCCACTATAGCTCGGCTAACAGGCTTGAGGACCTCAAACGTTCTCTTTTCTTTAACCAGTTTGTTGAGGGTCGGTGGCCAAGTGTGGCGGAAGAGGAGCTTTAGTGGTTCCCTCACACTCTCAAGGAGGGGGCAGTTGAATAATCTGTGTTGGACACTGTCATCAACTCCACAGTCGGGACACAGTGGACTGTTACCTCTACGGAATCGGTGCAAATTCTTTCCGATTTTTGTGATTCGGAAAAGAAGCATTCCAAATTATTGGTTCAGCTGATCAAGAAATTATAAGACCGTTATGTCGTATCCATTCATTCTTAACCAACAGAAACAACGCTATGTTGTTCTTAAACTAATACATCTATACTAGTTAGGGATAATTTCATACAATAATAGGTCAATGATAGGTCAGTCCTAGAGGGTGACACAGACATTTACATCCTTTGTCTGACATCTGCAATCTTTGATATGTCAATTGAGTAAGCGAGTGTGATGGAATGCCTGATACTCTGCTCAGACTGGCTTGCCATCCGTTTCAAGACTTCCCTCATTTCGTTACGCCAAGGCAGATTAGACCATGGTACATGCCTGCACAAACTTATTTTGAAAAATCCATGTGTGAATAGCATGAATATTGCAATTATCACTGAAATCGTTTAGCTCTTACAACCTTTACAAATAATCGAATTTTCTAGTTTCCGTAAACCTTGCCACTGAGATCTTAGACATGAGCAACTGCTTGGTCAGAAGTAGGATTTCACTGTTATATCACAGAATCCAAACTTGAACTATATCAAATTGCTCTAAATATTAAAACAAAATTATTACATATGACTCTCTTAGAATAAAATGGGAGATTTCCTCTTGTGGTCTAAATCGTAACCAAAACCAATACAGCTTGGATAGGATGACCAAAACGATTAAAAATGGCTAAACCAGAGATCGATCAGCTTGCAATGCAACAGACCTTGAAGACAGGACAAACAATAAAAATCAATGTAATTACTTGGCAAGGTGTTGAACCTGAAGCACCATCATGTGTCTGGGAAACTACTGGAAACGGTGGCGTCTGCCAGACAAAACCAGAAAGAACTACTCAAGACGACCAATCTATATATTGTTCTGCTGTTCGAACTTATTCTTTCATCACAACACTAGGTACAAAGTGCAAGAATAAGCTAAGCGGAGTATTTCATATCATCATGGATTATTCAATATATTGCCGTCAACCCTCTTATCTTATAAAACTAAAGTAAATCCTGTCTTACAGGTGGGTTTAAATATTTAACTACCTGCAAAGGGGTAAAATCACATTACAATACTTTTTTCATATAATTCTTTAATTAAAATTATATGGGTTATCCTGGGATTTGAAAGCAAAGAACCTCTAGCGTGGTAAATATAGACGACCTGCCACTGTGGACCCCTGATGCTCTCATTCAATATTCATGCATATAAACTTCAGGTAACAGGCAAGTATTTTCTTATCAGAGCAATGCATACAAGCTTGCTCTCTATAAAGAGCCAAGGCCATTATTAGTTGGTAGGTTGTGTCTGAGGTTTTGAGTCGAGTAAGGGGAGACAGTCAGCTCCTACCAAATGCTCGAACCCTTTAATAATATTGTTTTTTATGTTCTTCGTGGATATTTATGTTTAGAAAGCTGTACCTGCAGTTAAATACGTAGATATGGAGTACAGTGAAGAGTCTATGGACCAAGATGAACAGGAAAATAAGGAGAAACATCTTTTATCACCTCTACATATAACAAAAAATAAAAGCATAAACCCCTATGAAGAAGAAACGAGTGAATATGAGAAAAAGAGGTTGCAAATTATCGCAGAGAATGAAGCAAAAATGAGGTAAATATTTACGAAGTGTGACTTTATTGTCTAGTCGAGCCATTGCTGTTTATTTGGGCCTCAATACAGGGGTTGAGCCCTAGAATAATTATCTTTAATGCAATCACAGCAAATTAATAAATATTTTATGCCCATGGCAAAATATTTGCAAATTATTGAGGCATTTTTTACTAGCGAACTGGGTTTAAAAACGCAAAAGGCACAATTGAAGCCAAAACCGAAACCTAAAAATGGAAATAAAAAAAGAAAAGTGATTGCAAGATGGTATATTATTTTTTTTAAATGAGTTTTAAGACTTTTAAAAAGAATTTATAATTGTATCAGTAATTTATCCTAGGAGTATTGGGTTTACTGATGTGCCAAGGAGAGAACCTTCTAAGCGTTTGAGGAATAAACTGGAACATAAAGTATTTGAAGAAGACGAAAACCCCCCACCTGTTATAACACCATCAGAAACTCATGTAGAAACTGATAATAGGATTATTGGTTGAGTTTAAATTCTTTTGTTACAATTGTTTCAAATAAAATTAATAACAATAAGTTTAATAAATTTCAGACACAGTAGACCTCGAGGTTGAATCGAGGGAGTTCTTTTCAAACTTGCATAGTACTGTACCATATCAGAGTGATGTCGATATTGCAAAATGTGATAAAGACACGTAAATATTTCATATGAAACTTGTTATTAAAAAAAAAAAAAAAAAAAAAAAATTACTCCATTTAAAATAATAATAATAATTTCAGCTTTCAAACCCAAATACTGAGCTTAAGAATGTTTGATGATTTGAAAAAAGTCGTGGATCAGAGAATATATTCTTTATTTATTTATCCTTGCACATCAAAATGCCTTGTCTTAGCAGGAAGTAGAAGTGGTTCTTTAGGTAATGTTATAGAAAAACAGCTTATTGTGTATATTATAATTTTAATTTGTATTATTTGTCGTAGGAGTTTGGGATGTTATGTCAAGTGATGAGGACAACGTCCTAAAATTTGACTACCAGACAGGACCTATAAATTGTATTTCTTCGAATAATAATTACTTGGGTAAAATCTATACCACTAGCCACGACGGTACAATTAAGTGTATTGACTTAGATTCAGGGAAAGTTGAGAATGTACGTCAGTCAGGAAGAGCGGGTGAAAAACCCAATACTTTTCATTTTTTTTAGAAAGAATTGTATTCTGAGGATTCATTTTTTTTTCCAGCTCTATGCTACTTCATATTCAGAGAAAATCAACCATCTCACTTGGCATGATGTTATGGATTCTCACACATTATTATTTTCGCACGGTTAATATTTTTTTACCAATATTTTAACTATAACTTTTTTATTATTGATTGAGAGATAAAAAGAAAAAAAAGGACAGACACTTGTATTTATTTGTTTATTTGGCATAATAACTAGGTATAAAGGTTACTTAAAACTTAAACGCAATATTAATAACTTGTGGTTTACCTTTATATAGTGTTACTAATCCTTTTACACTCTTTAGATTGAAAATAAAGAAAATCAGTTCAATTTCGTCCTTTTTGAGTGAGCTAATCAGTTTTTTGAATTGTTTTCTTGATTAAGCAATAAATTTAGAAAACAAAAATTATTCTATTTTCTTAAAAGCATGATTTTAAGTAAGATTTTCACTACTTATTAAGAGTAAAACCAGATAAAAAAATGTTACTTAAATTTAAATCTATCATCATGATTTTCCAGTATTTTGGTGAATTTTCTGTCAAATCATTTATTAAAACAAATTTCTAATTTTGTTTAATTTAAAATCAGTATGTTTAATTAATATAACAATAAAAATACATTAGTTGGAAATAAACAACAAAATATAAGTGCGTTTATTTTTTATTTTGGTTTATATGGTATATATAATGTTTGTAATAATGGATTTAGGTAATGGTAGTGTTGGAATCCTGGATATGAGGGAAAACAAACAACCTACATGGGCCAAATGCTACAATAAATCCTGTAGGACAGTTCAATCACATCCTTGCGATAAAAACTATTTTCTCACATCCTCAGGCCTTGGGTATATATTATATTTTTCAGTTTTTTGAAATCTTGTTTTTATTTATTTTTTCTACAGCTAACGTTTAATAATAATTCACATTTCCTAGGTATGCCAGTATTTTTGATATCAGGAAAATAAATAAAAATAATCCCATCTCTGAAATGGAACATCACAAAGGATTGAGTAGCGCTTTTTTTTCACATGTCGGAAACAGCATCCTAACAACTTGTAATGACGACACTGTTAAAATATTTGACACGTCAAAGTTTGCTTTAAAGCCTAAAGGTAACTAAAAAATATAAAATACATATTAAGAAACAATTAAAATCCCAATTGTAAATTTAAGCTATTACTTCTGTTGTCCATAACAACCATACGGGTCAGTGGCTGTCTGTTTTTAAAGCAAATTGGTATCCTCAGAGGGATGATGCTTTCATTATTGGAAGTCTTTTATCACCTAGAAGGGTTAGTTGAACATTGAATTAATATCCTTATTTAAAATCTAATTGTGTTATTAATTACAGTTACAAGTATATGGGAGTGATGGGAAAATAATTGCCGAGTTAAAAGATGATTCCATGACAACGATTTCTCCTGTAATAGCAATTCACCCTACCCTTACTATAATCGCTGGTGGAAACAACTCAGGACGAGTTCACCTCTTCTGGCCGCCAGAAATGGCCAAAATGTTTGAACAAAATGTCTAAAATTCTACCGACAAAATCTACATTTCAAAAACCTATGAAATAATAAATATACCATACACCGGCTCTACTGAAACAGTTTCTTGTTTATTTTTAAATTGTGCGTTTACAAAAAACAAAAAAACATATGCAATGGACTGTTAGACATGTTAGAATAATCTTGTTTACTTATTAATTATTTAAAGTTATAGCTTATACATATCTTTTGTGTTTTTTATTTTTTAAATAACATGGTAATTTTTAAGTGTAATTTGTCTTTTTTTAATTTTTACCTTTGTCTAACAAACAATTCCATGTGGGGTTTTTCAAAAAGTAAATTAATTACTTACTTGAATGTAAGTGATTAATACCCTACAACTCTCTCTCACAAACACACACACTCTCTCACAAACACACACACTCTCACTCTGCTGTAAATAAGAAAATTGGTTCAACGGAGGTTTCAGTATAAGTATCTGAGGGTGCACTTCTCTCTCTGACATCTCACCTTTAAAAATTTAAACATCAAAATTCGCAATTAATTTTGTTTGGCCTAACCATATTTCAAATTCATATCTATTCGACCTAATGTCAAGTGTCAAAGTACCATATTTATAATAGTGTGTTGCAATCCATAATTTGTTGTACAGCTCAAATTTAGGGCTATAATCTATATGGGGGTCTTGGAAAGGTTTCAAAGATATTTCAGAAAATTATTCTCTACCTACAAGCACAGCTTACATTGCCAGCTTTTATTTAATGCATTATGCAGTGAATACTGAAATCAAGACATAAGGGTCGTCATTACTGAAGAGCGAAAACAATAAAGGGCTAAGTATGCAGACCTGTCTAAACCCCAGTTTCAACAAGGAAATATTGGGATACCTATTAATTTCAACATCAGAATCACAATGAGCAAAAGCAGCAGTATTGCAAAAATAAATAATAAATAAAAAAGTAATTTTTAAGATTTGTCTTTTTTAATTGTTAGCTTTATTTAAAAAACAATTCCATGTGGTTTTTTTCAAAAAGTAAATTAATTATGGATTGCAACACACTATTATAAATATGGTATTTTGACACTTGATATTAGGTCGAATAGAAGAATTTGAGATATGGTTATGCCAAACAAAATTAGTTGCGAATTTTGATGTTTAAATTTTTAAAGGTGAGATGTCAGAAAGAGAAGTGTACCCTCAGATACTTATACTCATAATGTCAATTCCTTTGCTCCCAAAGAACCAGTGTTCCTTATTTGCCTCCCTGTCCCCAACCTCATGAAAAACTATAATTTTTTATTTCTTTAAATTAATTAATAGGTCCCAATGAAAGCAATAAATTTCTATAGTTGGAGAGCTCCAGCCAGCATGACTACATTGTAAGCTTTTATTCATTCATTATATATTATTTACGCGGCGAATTCTGAAATCAAGACATCAGGGTCGTCGTTACTAAAGAACAAAAACAATAAAGGGCTAAATAAGCAGCCCTGTCTAAACCCAGTTTCAACAAGGAAATATTGGGATACCTATTAATTTCAACAGCAGAATCTGAATGAGCGAAAGCAGCAGTATTGCAAAAGTAAAGGTTTACATTGTTCATATGAGGAAGCATTTGGTCAACGGCCAAGCCACTATAGAGAAAACGAACGCGAAAATTGTATTTCTCCTTTTTGATATTTTCAACATTAACAATATTCATATGTGAGAGTCTGAAGTTTGTAGAAATCCTTGTTAGCAACATCTATCAACTTCTTACTGCAAGAGTAATCAGTGTGCGATGTTTTAATGGAGTAAATTTTGCCACAATGGGAAAATTCAAGCTCGAACAGAAAATCACTTCTCCTGAAAATTAGTATTTTTTTACATTTCGGTACACTTTTCCCCAAAACTATCTGACATGTTGAACTATTTTTTTTTTTCATTTTGTAGAGCCAATAAATAATAAGTGTACCTTATTAGAGAATTTAAGATACATTCAGAAGAATTTTTTTGTATAAATAAAAAGATGTAACATTTTGACACAACTTTAGGTTGTTGCCAAAAATAAACAATTCACTATTTAAAAAAGAAATCTAGCTAAAAATTCGTAGAATATATACTAAGAAAAATCCAAATAAAACAACAGTGGTTGTAATAAATCGAATAGATTTTGAGAAAATCAAAACTACAACTTAATGACCTTGAACTATTGGTTGAAATACAGTAAAATTTTATATTTTAATGCTTAAACTGAATGTGTGGACTCTTCTGAAAAGGAAATACGTATCAAAATTAAAAACCTTGAAGTAGAAGTCAAATCTGAAAAAAGAAATAGAAAAAACTTATCTGTTGGTCCGAAAATCAGTTGCTACCGTCTTAATATAAAAATATTTGCTCAAATTGTAAATATTTGTGTAAATTGATTGTTCATCCTTGGCACCTTCCTCGATATGTGAACATTTTATATTTAATTTATTATTATATAAAGTCTGAAATTTATGAGCCTACAAACAGCTGAAGTCATCGCCGGCCCTCTGCGCGTTTTTCTTCTTTTTCTGTCTTTCACGCAGATTTTGGTTTACACTGCAGCCTTTGAGCATTGGTTAATGACTGCTTTTATATGTATACTACGTCTAATGCTAGCCCCTCGATTGTACCTCAGGTTCACACAGAATATACATAAATAATGTACATTGCTACAAACAAAGAAATCTGATCACATTCACTCCCCCAGAGTATTCGATATTCCTCTGGGCGGGGTTGAATCCACTCCATTCTCGCTAATAACTTACTTTTACTGTAGACTCACCCTACAGTTCTACTCCTCAGGGTGGAATTAAATTTGCAATTTACTTTTTGTGCCGTTTTTAAGAGTTTGCATTATTAAAATAAAATTAAAAAATCTAATTGAAAGTTTTATGATTCAAAAGCTTTATGCTATATATTTTTTTTAATCGTTAATTTTCTCTAGGTTTTAAAAAATTGTAATGGAGATACTGTCAATATTTTTCATTCATAATAGGATCTTGGTCAGACATGAATATTCATTGTCAAATTTAGTTTATTTTTGTGCTTATAACATTCGTTTTGCTTAGTATTTAACATGTGAGGTTTGCTTGTAAAATGAAACCTTGAATCACGATCGTATTGTCTTAAAGCCGGAAGATTTGGTCAATATCGTTCATCATTGTCAGAATGTTTGTCAGAGAGGTGTATAATTAAAATTATGTATGTATGGAAAAAAAAACTACGTAAGCTTTTTAAACGTAATTGCATGAATACACCACTAGGAGGTGAATAGGTCAAGAGAATATGGTTCATGGATGTTCAGCTTGGAGTTGGACGTCGAATACGACTGCACACATGGACGTCAAACTTGGCAAAAGTCATAACCATTAGTATCGGCAAGGAATTTCCGTAGCCTTGCAGACGAAACATTAATGATGAGCTTTTTTTCATTCCCAATTCGGGTTAGATTGTGTAACACTTGATTTACACTGCATAATCTATCGGCGGCCAAGTTTTGCCTTATAAAGGATGCTGTGACCTGAATTTAGCATCTTGGCCAACGGTAAAGGTGAGCCCGCGGGCTTTCTCCGTCCAAATGTTTGGGATTATTTGCTGTCGTGCTTTCTCCTTTATTATTTGTCGTGTTTTCCGAGTAAATATGTCTGTTTGAATGATCTGTCTGCAAATCATCGTGCCTTGAATACATTGAAACGAAACACGTCGCACACAAGCTATATTTATGAATAAACGGTTGTTTTATTTTTTATATGTGATCTTTTAAGTTGATTTTTTATTTCAATTATTAAGAGCATGGCCGTACATGTCCTTGTTAAATCTGATGCCTATATTTTTATAATTGACCTAATCCGCCATCTTACTAGTTTATACCATTCTTAGCAAATGTTTTTCAGCTTCTGTCCAAAGAGTATCTTAAATGCAATATGGTTTGTCCCACCTCAAAGTCTATACTTACTATTATTTCCAAGGATTAAAAGTTTACTGGCAATTAAGTAACAAGATTCAATTTTTTTTCCAAATTTTGCTGAAAAAGTCAATTATGCTTAAAAAAAACTTGAACAACACAGCATTGCAATGTATAGACAAAATACTAGGGTGGGCTATCATTTTGCCCCGGGCCTTAACTTTTGGCATTTTTTATTATTTAGTTTGGCAATTGATGCATTTCAATCATTTCAATTTAAACCCAAACAACACCCAAGGGGAGTAAAGTAAGTTACCGGTTCACAGGTTCCCACGGCACCTTTGAATTTGATGAGAAGGATAGTGACTATGGGATTATTTCCTGGATATCATTTTCCTCATTGTGATTAAACTGGAGCATGAGCAGCGGGATACGCTCCTAGAATTGCGTCTGATGCAAGAATAATACGGCTAGGTTCACGACTAGTTTCGCTGATTCGTAACTCACTTGTGAGTAAATCGCGAAAACTTAAAAACCGACACTGCACATGCATCAGCACAAAGTTAGCATTAATTATGTTAAAATGATTTGCAATTGTTTTTAATTTTTATCCTGATTTCATTATTTGATCTTTTGGTATTGTGGATACTGTAATTAGTTCATTAATTAATCTTCAAAAAATATAGTTTTAAACAAAACTCTTTAAATTTCATACTACAGGTTTTCAAGGGTCGGTTCTATAATTAAAAACAAAACAAAAGTTGGTAGTCCTAAGTGAAATAGTGCAACTGATATTTCTAATATCAATTTACAAGTCCATAAATTAACACAAACGACCGTTTCAGAAAAGGTTATTGTTATTCAATTCACTAGTTTTCGTGGTCCGCTTGACCAATGTAATATCTTTCAATTAATTAAGGTTTTTAGTTGAGATAAAAAAGTCGTCACTAGCGGGATTCGAACACATGGAGCGAAGACACGATAGCTCAGGTAGTAGAGTAGCGGTGTATCTAGCCGAAGGACGTGAGTTCGAATCCCGCTCGTGACATAGACTTTTTATCTCAACTAAAAACCTTAATTAATTGAAAGTTATTATTGTTGTTCTACTATTTCTTATTTTTTTGATATTTTTTCTTATAAATATGAAAGCACCTCAACGTCTTTAAGTGCCCAGGACTTGCACGG